AATCAAAAAGAAAATTAAAAAAAAAGAATGAGATAAGATAATTAAAGTGTTCAAGACAAAAACAGCTTCAGAAATATTAGAAATAAGCTATATTCTAATTAAATGAACAGAGAGAAAAACACAAAAGGTTTTTAAAGCCTATGCAAACTTGTGCTTAGATACAAAAAAGATTCTAAAAAATAAAAAATAGTATAAATATATTTAATATCAAAAGATATAGAATAGGGATTCAGTTCAAGCAATATTTAACCAATAGCATTAATTAAAATATTTAGAAAAGAAAAACAGAATTAATAACAGAAAGACTTAGCATAATATTTGCTAAAAAAGAAATAATTAAAAAACAAAACTATGCAGGTCTATTAGAAAACTCAACAGAACAACTAGTACATATTCTAAATATGATAATTAAAGAAACAAAAAAAAAGAATAAAGAAATGTAGATACTTCTACAAAATATAAAAAAGGCATTCAACTTAGTTTTGCTTAAAAGTCTTGAGCTAGCTCTATAAAGAGTCAAAATACTCAGAATAACAATCAATTACATCTTAAACTTTTTTATAAAAGGCAACTTAAAATAATTACAGCTTATAGCCTAATAGAAGAAATAATAGCAAAAGATAGAATAAATCAAAGTAAAGTAATATTACTACTAATATGACATCTTTTCTATAATCTGCTATTGAAAAAAATACAAAGAGATAAAAGATTAACTATATAGTAGAACAAGAAATTAAAGAGAGAATATATTATAAAATTTTACAAGCTACTACTAAGTAGCAATCATATATGTGAATGACACAACATAAATTGCAAGTAATAAAGAATAATTGCTAAAAACCCTAAAGATAGAAAAAGAGTTCTTCAAAATAAATGATATATAGATAAACAGATCTAAATCAAAACTAATAATAATAAACAAAAAAAGCTAAAAAAAATATAAAAAAATAACTTTTAAGGAAGCAAAATAATAAAAGAACCAAGAAACAAAATAGTTTCTTCATTAAAAATTTGACTAAACAATAGAATACAAGAAGTCTTAGTAAGAAAAAAAACAAAAAAGATAATAAGTCAGATAATAAGAGACCTTAAATATAAAAAAATAACAATAAGCTGGATTGTATATATAAACAATATAATATTAATACCAAAATTAAGCTACATGTTGCAATTAATAAAAATATTAGAGAAAGGAATAAATAAAATACACTAACCAATAATATGTTTGGTAAAAGAGAAAAGCAATTTATCAAAAACATTAGAAAACTGCATAATAGAACATAAGCACCTTAATAGTTGCAAAAATTTTGTAACAAGAACTAACAATAAAACTAGTAGTAGATCTAGTAACAAGACTAAACAAAAAAGATAAACTAAGGCAATTAATAAAATTAAGAATAACATTTGTTAAAAAGTAAGTTTAACAAAAAACATATAAAAAGTAGAAAAATTGTCAGAAAACAAGTTATACTAGAAGATCAATTTAGCCTATTTGATGATAATTAAAGTAAGAAAGTTAGGAATAAATATAAGTACAGAAAATAAATTATAAATAGCAAATAGTTATAGTTCTAGAATAATTGAACTAATAAAACCATGATTATAGAAAAGAAGTAGAACCAAAATAAATGAAACAGAACTAATATATTTAAATTAACTATTTGATACAAAAGAAGAAAGACTAATAATATAGTAACAATTTAAAGACTATCAAAAACAATTGAATAAAGACAAAAAGGTAGAATAGTTCAAAATAATATAAACAAAAGTGCTTAATAGATTTGAAAACAGAGAAGTTAAAGAACAATTCAAAACAGAAAGATATAACAGACAATAAATATTAAATAAGAAAGTCTGTCAAATAATAGGAGGAAAAAAGAATAAATAGTACATAGTGCAATAGAGAACAGGCAATTGTGAAAAATAGTTAAAAAGAAGAAGAAAAAGCTACTAATAGGATATTAGCAGGTGTATAATATAGAAAATGATTTAATAATAAAAATTGACAAATGCAAGAGGTGTATAAGAGAAAAAAAACAATAAAAAATAGTTGTCAACATTGGATAAAAATTAACAACAAGATAAATACAGTTCCAAATATGCTAATAGAAAGAAATAACAATATAATTAAAGTAGCTACTGACTAACTAATAGAATATATAAAAACAGAGAAGTTGAGAAAAAATAAATAAAAGCTATTAAAACTTATAATGTTAAAAGATTTAGAAATAAAGTTAGTTAAAAAACAAAAGCTAAAAGAAAACATTAATTATAAATTAATAGAAATCTTAAGAAAAAATATATCAAGAGACAAAAATAAATATACAATATATATAGATAGTGCAGCAAATAAAAAAAACAAAGAAGAAACAATAGATAGAAACATAAATATAAAATATGTACAAATAAGTAAAGCACAAGATTGAACAAAAGAAAAGGTAACATATGAGTTAAAAGGATAATTTATATCTACTACAGCTAAGGTGCTAGCAATATAAGTAGCAGTTTTAATAATACTAAAAAAAAAATTAGAAATATTTACAGATAGCAATGTAGCAATTAGGAATTTATAAAGACTTAATATATATAGATAGAAATGAAGTTCTTAAGAAGAAAAATATGCTATAAGTATTGAAGATAATTAATATAATTAGAACAAAAAATATATAAGTAGAGTAGATCAAAGTAAAAAGTTATAAAAAGAATAAATGGAATAATAAAACTAATAGTTTTGTAAAGAAAGAAACATTAAGCAGAAAGATAATATTTCTAGAAAAATCAGTTATAAAGAAATAGAATACTGCTTTGAATAGAAAAACAAGTAAACAAACTTATCAGCAAGATTTTAATATAAAATAATATCAAATATCAGATTAAAGGTAGAATAAAAAAAAACAATAGCAATTAAGAATATAGAACTAGTAACAAAAACAATGATCTATAATTAAATATACTTTTGAAGAAAGTTAAAATCATCTAAAGAGATATATTGTTTAATAAAAAGAAACAGTATAAGAAAAAGTGATTTTATGAAATTTATATTGAACAAACTTTTAATTTTAGAAAAACTTAACAAAAGAAGACCAGATATATACACAATATTAAAATGTCAAGTCTGCTAAAGCAAAGTTAAAGAAATACAAAAACATTTAACATCTTATAAAAAACAAGCAAATCTATAAAAAAGAATACAGAAAGTATTTATTGTAATAGTATAAAAAAGTTTAAAAAAAGAAAAAAAAATCCAGGTCTCATCTTATAAATTATATATGGTACTTTTTAAAAAAATAAAGAAAGATTAAATAGAAATAAAGAAAGCACTAATTAAAGACCTAATTCAAAAGCAACTCAAGACAAATTATCACAACTTATGAATACAAGAACAAAACAACAGCTTATAAACATAATGACAGAGATAGCATAGAATACTTTTTATAAATAAGTTTAGAGAATATGTTATGAAAAGATTAATATATAAGAAAAAGAAAGAAGAATAATGAGTAAAACAAAAAAAAAAGACAGAAGAAAAATGAAAATTCAAGCACAAAAAGAAAGACCAATTAGCAAGAAATAGAAGAGAAAAAAAAAAAGTAAAAAAAAAAAAAAAAAATCAAAGAAGAAGTTAAGAAAACAATTTGATAACTTGTTATGAAAAGAAGAAGACCCTTTTATTACAGACTTTAAATAGTCAAACAAGCAGCTTACCTCTGCTAGAGGTAATATAACAGGTTGCACTTAGGCACCATTAAGATAGCTATGTAATGCTAGACTTAGTTGTTAGATACATTTATGTAATTGCAATAGTAATTTCAAAAATCTTAATAAAGCACTAATATAACTGCTTAAAAAAATATATATACAGTATGTTGTGACAGAATTGATTCTAATAATTGATACTATTACTAATTATGTAAGATCAGACCAAGTTGAAATTAATTGAAATAATTATGTTTAATGTTTATATTGGATTCTCAATCTAAATATATTAATTGTAATAAAGAAATCTATATTAAAATATTTGATCTAACTGTTTTAGTTTTACCAATCTAACAACTTTGCTTACTGCTAGAATAGAGTTAGATTTTGTTATTAATTTAGGTTTAGAAAAAATTTTATTAGCACCAAAATTTTGCAAAAAAAACTTTTTGTTATGAATTATGTTTTGATTTTTGCGTAACACCTAATCTTGAAATCTGATTGGTTAGAAATTTTTTTTAGGTTGGTAACGCTACCTCATGATATGGGCTAGGTGCTAGAAAAGGATAATTTTTTTTTTAAGTTTAACTAATTTAAAATTAGTTCAGAAACATTTATTACTTAAGAAAGGAATGCTGTTGTATTAATAAAATTTTACAGTATAATAATTTGAAATCATATTTTTTATAAGTTTATATAGATTTTGTATAATATAAAAATTAGAAATATAATTATAATAACCTGAGATGATCATCACCTCACTATTTTTAAAGTTAGGATGCAATTTAAGATCAAGACAGGGGTTAGATATAATATCCCAAATATAGGTTACACTAGGTTTTGGAGGGTTCTGACCATTTTTACTTAGTATATCTGACCCCTGTTTCTTAGTTCCGTTTTTGATATATAGCATTGAGGTGATGATCACCTCAGGTTATAGTTAATAATATTCTAAAAATTAATTTTCCGCAAAATATATTTTTTTTGTCAATTTTATCCCTTTTCCCAGCATCTAGCCCATATATTCCACAAACATTCGGGTTAACACTTAAAAATCATCGCCAAACCTGTTTAGATCAAGATGAATACTGTACTGTCTTTATGCCTTTAAAGGTTTTATTATTTCGAAATATGTGAAAATTTACATTATATTGTATTAACATTGTGAAATGATTTTGGAAATTGTAATAAAAAAAAAAAGCTCTATTATGCAAAATTACGAAATCATTTTTTCGAGTCAAAAAAAAAAGAAAAAACAAATTTGCATTTTTCATCACAACCATATGTATGTTAGATGCTATTTCCTACATTGCGTCAGTTTTTTTACTTTCAATTTCATCCTTATCATCATACCCATATAAAAAGTATAACAACAATAGTCCAGTAACGAAAGCTAACATACTGAGAGTTAAATACATATAAACCAAGTAAGGATCTCTTGATAATGGTATGAATGCAAGCCCTAATAACGATCCAAATGCGCTTGTGGTTAGAAATACCGCAGTAACAGAAGATTTTAAAGATTCTGGTGCTTTTGAATACGCATAATTGAGGCCTGTTATCACAGCGAATACTTTATTGAAATTTTTAGTTAGAAAAATTTATTAATATCTTTATTAATATAATGAATAAAATTTAAGGTAAAATAATAATAATATTTATATACCTTCAGATAACCCAATCAAAACATAGGCTGGCGTTTGCCACCAAACATTAATATCATTTGGAGTAGGTATGTCATTTATCAAACATAAAGTCTGGTTATAACATGGACTGGTATTATATATGAAATATTGAAGTATAGCCGCATAAATCATTGCTAAGCTAGCTAACATGAACCCTATAAAAATCTTTGTTATGGGTCTAAGAATAATTCCACATCTCTGAAGTAACGGATAACTATAAAATAAAAATCAAAACTGGGTAAAAAATGATGTATATATAATTATCATCAATTATAATAATTATGCACTTACAGTACGTAATTTGCGAATGGAGTGAAAATGATTAAAACAATGGGATCCAAATTATTCATAATATCATTTGGTACCTTTCAAAAGGGTCATAAATAAATAAGTAAATAAATAAATAAATAGAATGAATTATAAGGTAATTTATATAAATAAATCACAAATTTAAATAAATTAAGAAACCAAGTTAAAAATGGCATACACACCCCACCAACTTGCATTGTAGCAGCTTGCGATATTAAATTATTATGAATCTGTAAATAACAAACCCAATAAACCGGGAAAAAGAAGCATACACGAACAATTTGCAATCCAATTCGTACTTGATCCACAAAGGCATCATCCCAAGTTACACGTTCTTTTGTTTTAACATCATCAGACATATTGGAAGGTTTTGAATTTTCTAAAGAACGATCATAAGAATAAGCTACACGAAGAACTCGAAAACAATTTAATAGAGAAGATCCGTTTGGAGGTTTTTTGACCAATTGATTTTTTCCAATTATTAACACCAAAATAGCGAAATTAAACATTATTAATGGAATTAGGTAAGCCAGCCAGAAAGAATGATATTTTTCGATATTTGTGGTGATTACTGGAGAAAGAGCACCGATGTTTATTGCCAAATAAAACCAATGAAAAATAGATTGAGTGGTCAATTCTGGGTCCACAATGACTTTATCACCATTTGCTAATGTCTTGACATAGGGTTTTGTGTCTGTATTTTGTTCACCGGCCATAGGTGGAACATTACATTTGATCCCGCCTAACAGATATATACATATAATCTTAGTCATAGTCAATTATCAAACTGAATAAATGAATACTTGTAACTGAATACCAGTAACTGAATAATAATAATTGAATACTAGTAACTGAATAAGCTTACCTGTACCTAACCCTATAATAACCATGGCAATAATTAGACCAGGAAGAGCAGCACCTGCAGCAATTGATTGTGGTATTGCAGTCACAGTCAAGACAACTAGACCAACCATGTAAATACAACAAAACATAAGAATAGTTTTGTATCTTCCAATATACTGATCAGCAAGAATTGCACCGAATATAGGAGTGATAAAACAAAAGAATTGAAAAAACAAAGTTAATGCAGTTGCAGCTTGTTGACCTGCACCAATTGCACCAGGTTGACCATTCTTTTCTACAGGTGGAGGAAATTGAATATAATTTTGAAAAGGACCAGAAACACCATAATATGTAAATCGTTCACAAAGTTCACAGAGTATTATAAACCACGCAGCTATAATTATATAATTTTGTATATTAAAATTAAGTATAATTTATTTAAATCAAGGATATTATGTATGAACCATACCAGTGGGTATGCGGCCAGAAACTTTACGTAAAGTACTCAAGTCTTTAACAGATGGTTCATCATTTTTCTCTGCATCATCCACATCAAGCTTTGTATAACGTTCAGTAACGTTATTGGATTCATCATTTTCTAGGGCATTTTTTTCTTGAGGAAATTCCTCTGACATTATCAAATTTCACTTTTACACTAAAAGTCTATTAAAAACAATTGAAAAATGAATCCTTATAAGAAAGAAATTTGCATAATTGTTTGATTGATCGATCGATTTAGGTAAGCTAGTATAAAAGTGGCGTTGGAATTGGGGATATGATCAAATGAAGACTTAACCGATAACCGGATTGTACATGTAAATGAGTATTCATTTTAGGAATATTATAGTGCAACATTTTTATTTGCCAAATCAGCAATTAAGTTGTGCCAACCACCAATTACGTAAAATGGCCTCTTTACTTTTCTCTTTGACTCCTACGTACGTATTTACAAATTATTTTTATTTATTTAACTTTATTGCATTATGTAATAAAGCCGTCAGATTTAATTGGCAAATTAGTCTCAATTGAGATGATCGAAGAGATCGACTGCATAATAACACAATCGATGTTTCACGAATTAACATCCTTCGAATTAGTGCAATAAGATAATAAAAAATATTACGAGGAATTACACGACATAGAATTAACCACCTGCTTTAACGTTATCGACACAGCACAGTCGGCATTATAATCGGGTTTGAGTTAGAACTTGTCAGGATTACAAAGGAATTACAGAGTTAGGTCATGTATTATGTCAGTAAAAAATAATCGTTAGGGGAATTGGTTTTTAATATAAGTCGCATCACACGATTTGTCATTCAGATCACAAGAAAAGAGCAAGACGATGAAAAATGTTGATCAAATATGTAAAAAAAAATATCGACTTATGTCTTTTACGTCAATTTTAAAGTGCGACATGAAAGCTTTATGCACCTGCCACATTGCACAAATGGGCCACAAATGGGCCACGATGGTTTAGTATTATCGTTATTTATAAATCTAAAAAAATTTATGCGTCGGTGTAACAATTACTATCATATTTCTTCATTTGGACATAACCTGGCATCAGGTTCTCATAATGAGTGATTCATACGTTTTTTTTAATAAGTTGTGAAATGTTCCTAGTAAACAAAATATTCAATATTAAAGATAAGAAAATTTAGTGGTTATTAATGCAAATTAAGATCAATATATAAATATTTTAAATCATCAATACGGTAAGCACTGCTAACTCAATCACATTTTTAAAACTTCAGATTAACAGAAATTGAATAAAACCTTTTGCCAAATTTATTTCTGATAATTTGAGGTTAAACAAATGATATTGAGGGAGTGGTGATAGAATACGGTAGGCTAAAATTTGATCAAATCTATGTATCAAAATTAATCAATCAATTCTAAACTGAAAAATTTTTGGTCTTCTAACCACTACACTTCAATTGGAAATGTTGTTCAAATCCAAATTTAGGGGGGTAATTATATTTCTGCCTAATATTGGAAATTCTTGACCCGATCCCAAACCGCGAGATTGCCAAAAACTTCCTATTGTTGCTCCAAGCTACATATTAGGATTTTTATTAGAACCTCCTAGTCGGCAAATGTGTATTAATAGCTTTTCTACTTATGACTCATAAGTTGAGTCCACATTTTTGCAAGGCGCAACTCAGGTTTTTGTTTTAAAAAATTTTTTTTTTAGATTATTGTCCTAGAAACATTTCAATTGTGGTTAACTTGGCCGTCTTAGTTATGTAATATTAGCCTCATAGGAAATTATCCTTAAAAAATATATACGTAAAGTTGCTTATAGACTGATTTCCTTCTTTTTTAGTACATAAATCACGAATTGGGAATTGACTGTCACTAAAATGTGCATGGTGAAATAAGTTTAGTAAAGAGTTATAGCGAAATAATTGTATTTAAAAAAAGAGAATTGAGATGTGCTTTAATAAATTTTGTATTTCGAGGCTTAATAAATAAGAGTCAATTTCTCAAGTATTTGATATAAGTTTATGGAGTTGTTTCTTAGTTATTAGTCGTTATTAAAAGAAACATAAGAAAACATTCTATATACCTTCTCTAAATCGTTGTTTTCAAATTTTGAATTAATATGTTTACTTCAGTGTTTTCATTACCAATCTGATTGTTATCCAATATTATCGAATTACGTATTACAGTCAGTTGCAGCCTAAATTAGTATAAACGTAAAAGCCTGCAATTTTACGTGGACAAGCCACCTTAGTGACTGATTATGCTTATAAACCTATCTCGCTTTGCTAAAATGACTTTCCTAACGCAATGATAATAGCACATATGTATAACAACTTTATATGAAAATTTAGTATTATCGTCTTGAAACCGTTTGGTATATGGTTTCTATTTTTTTTAAAAAAATAATCAGTTATATATTTTCGTATAGAATTACAAAAATGAACTTTAATAATTTTTATATTTCAGGAATTTATATAAAATTCTAATATTGTCCTAGAGATGTTTTCATTTATATCCATTTACGTTAAAGAATAGTAATTTAACAGTAATGTACATGTATATTTTTATATCTATATAGTGTGATATTAAGCATTTTCTCACATAAAATAAAAATAAATTGCGTAGTGGAGCGAAATTTATGTGAAGATGTTTCTAAACCATTTCAGAATGTTGAATTTACATTGCAAAGGTGAGGTTCCTGATCAAAAAGAACATTATTGGTTAATAAATAAAATGATAACTTAAAAATATTACATAGCTGCAGTAGTGAAAATATAGTACATAGTATTTTCTTCAAAACAACCAAATCCATTAAATCGTTTCAAGTAAAAGAAGTAATATAATTAAATATAGCATTACTCAAAGCATTCATGCATTGTAGAATTTCATGAAGCTGCTCGTGTAATGGTACAGGTAGATAATTCACTTGAGAAAGAACAACATTTAACATTAGGTAAAAGTTAATATGCATTTAAATTTTAGGCTTATAAATTAATGTGGAAGTCTATGCTGAGATTTGGGATACCTACTTAAATATATAATATATATACTCTTTTATTAGTAATACTAGCCCTAAACCTTGACCTAACTATGAAAAAAAAAGACTACAAAAAAGCCCCTAAAAATTTTATATTTTTCATAATAAAATAGGTCAAATTCGCAGCAATAAGCCAATCTCAACATGAGCTGCCACAATTAATATTTTTATATCCTCTAGTTTATTTTATCATTATATTATTTATTAGTGTAAATGTGCTTTTGGAAAATTTTATAATTGAACATATTTTTGTTTTATAAATAGCATTAGATGGATGGACTAACTTTATCATTTATATACGAAGAAAAAGAATATTTATATTCTAGAATTTTCAGGCATGGTACAAACTGGAAAATTTCTTTTCTGAGATTTTTGAAATTGTAGATTAAGTTTTTCTTTTTTTTTAATAGGATGAGATGAAGTTTTATTAAAAACGATCCTCACAAAATATGCACTAAAAGTTGACAAAGTTTTTTTGAGAAAGAACAATCGAGAAATTCTCGAAAAATTAGTGCCAGAGTTGTTACGATTGTTGGCGCCTATCCGAAGAGAGAGAGATCTGGGATTAGTTAGGTGCTTTGTTCAGATAAATTCGTAGCATATGTAATAGATAATGGAAATAACTTCGTGTTGCCCGTAAAATCAACTATATATAACTACTCTTATATTTAAAATATTAAATAAGATCACTCATGTATTAAATCTTATGTCGAGTAATATTGTAAATTCAATTTGTTGATTATATTCCAAAACAAGCTAGTCAAATTATTCAATTCTTTAAAAAATCACATTTAGCTATCAACTTCGTGAAGGCAGGTCAATGGACAGCTTTGGACATAAGTTTGGACATTTTGACCATTTTTGAACCAAAATATAAACTAAAATTACTCAAAATTTTACTAAGATGATCCTAAGTTAAAAATATTCAGAACCTAAAAAAAAATTTATAATCTTATATTTTTATTAATTCTTAGAGTTGAACATGCTTTGGACACTCTTGGACACTTGGACATGATCAAAAAAAGCTTTGGACAGTAAAAATTGTACAACACTAGGTATAAAAAAGTTTAATATAACGCATAAAATGGGTTTTTATTTTTGAAACTAGATGACCATGTAGGTGGCTTCGACATCTGAGATTGTTGATACTGAAATTAGCTGGTGCTAAAATCTGGACTTAATCTTTTTTTAGAGTTGGGTTAGGATTTGAGGTTAGAGTTGTTAATATACATGGGTTTCTAAATTATTTTGCTCTTAATATAAATTTAAATAGCTTAGTGATTGGACCCGATAGAAATTGTTGCTATATAATTACCCGAAATACATAATAATTTAGCTATTTTAGAGATTGGACCCATTGAGAACATATCTACCCGGGTTATCCGGGTAAATTATTTTTGACAGCCTAAGTCGTAAAAGTTGAAGTGTCATAAAATTTTAATATTCATACCCTATGTATTGTATACATACTAGGTTAATGTGTCCGAAGCACATGATATTGCACAAACGTGTGATATACATGCAAATATAGACACGGTGCGACATCAATTTTCAAAATTACATTTTTGATGCATCAGTTTAATATATCTAATTAATTAATCAAGAATGTAACTTGCGATGCATCAAAAAAACATAACTTTTGTATCACCATGACTAACATTAAATGCCTCCGCTACGCTCCAGAAAATTAGTTTAAGATGAATATTTTCTCTATTTACATTGATTACTAACTTATCGTTTGTAAATTTGAAAATAATATTTATTTCGCGAAATTCTTTTTTTTGGCCTGCTTGTATGTTACACGAAAATCTTTAATTCCATATAGTGATAGGACCACGTCTTGATTTGATTTACATAATGCAAATGCATATTCTTTTTCAAACAAAAGTTATTTCATCCAATCAGAATGTTTTCAAGCAGAATCTTATTTTCACGACAAATTTTTTTCGCCATGGTTAGGGTGATGTGCCGCGTACAGTATACGAAAAAAATTCGGATATCATATAAATGGCACATCTATTGGCCCACCCGATGGGAGCTTTTTAGACGGTCAAGAAGACTAATTCTGTCACACAACCGTTTCTACATTTAGATATACATACTTTTTCTTTTTAGAACAATCCTTGTTTGGGCTGCGCAGTGCGCAGTGTTTTGCTGCATGGCATCTGCAATGCTTATCTCTATAATGATATAAAAACACATGAAAGATGTTTTGCAAAAAAAAAAAAAAAAAAAAAAAAGCGAGTTTGAAAGCGAATAAAATGGGTTTAATTACTCGAAAAATATTATCCTTGGTAAAAACTATTGAAAAAATTTTCGCAATTTCTAAGATCAATTTTTTTTTGCTATTCGTTCCTGTAGGATACATAGTGCACTTTTATACAAATAATGACACATTAGTTTTTGTGACAAACTTTTTGGCAATTGTACCAGCGAAAAGGTTACTTGAAATTGCAGCTAAAGGACTTCCATATTACCACAAATTTCATCATTCAGGTCTGTTGATATATACGTTTGCCAATGTAATTGAATTCATAGTAGCTATAATAGCATTGATGAAAGGTGAAATTCGGATTGTTCAAGCATCAATGCTAGGCATTATATTCTATAATATCCTATTTGTATTAGGATCATGTTTTCTATTTGGCGGGGTTACTACTTTTATAAAAAGTGAAGGTCGGCAGATTGAACAAAAGTTTAGTCCGACCGCTTCACAAATGAGTTCTAGTTTGATGACTTTGGCATGCATTACTTTAATTTTACCCACCGCACTCTACAGTCTTATCAATAGAACTTTTCATTTTTCCCATGAAACTAATACTATCAATGTTGATGATAAAATTTTACATATAAGTTATGGAATGTCGTTAGCATTGCTGGCCGTATATGCACTTTATTTATGCTTTCAGGTATTATAAATTTCGTTTATCTCATAATACTTTACGCTTATGTGTTCCTACCGTTAATTTTCTTTTATTGATGCAGTTAAAAACCCATAAAAGCTTGTTTGCAAATGTAGAAGATAGCGAACATGAAAATAAGGGTAAACGCGAAGCCAAATCTGAAGACTTAGAAAGCGGAGAACAAGGACATGAAAACACAGTAAACAGAGAACAAGGACATGAAAACAAAGAAAGCGGAGAACAAATAGATGAAACTGAAGAAGAAAAAGAAATACACATAGGCCCAAAGATGTCATTTATTTTGCTAATTTCAACTATGGTGATGATCTATTTTTCAGCAGAATTTCTCGTAGGATCAATTGAAGGAATTGTTAAATCCTTGGAGATAAGCGAAACCTTTATTGGATTGATTTTAATACCTATACTTGGTAATTTTGCAGAGGTATTCAAAATATTAACTTTATAAAAAATGTTTTTTTTTTTGTAATAAATCTTTTACATCTTTAATATATAATAGCATATACACTCTACTACCATTGCAATGAAAGATAACATGACTCTAGCTATTGGTATTACTGTTGGGTGTTCAACTGTAAGTTATTCAATAACATAATGATAAAATATTTTTGATGTTTAATTTCTTTTGTGTATTACAATAAATACAGCAAGTCGCGTTATTTATTACCCCAATATTGGTGATTTTGGGATGGATTATTGGACAACCAATGTCTCTACTTTTTTCACCTTTTGAAGCTATTTGTTTGTTTATTGCAGTTTTACTCAAAAATCAATTAATCCAGGTACGTTACTTTAAAAATTATTTTTTTGAAAACTTCAATGAATTCAATTTCTGTTCTTATCTCCTTTAATGCAGGGTATGTATTATCTCGTTATATTGTTAATGTAGAATAGGACTTAAATATTTGATTAAATTTTTAGATGGATGTTCAAATTGGCTTGAAGGTGCATTGTTAATAGCGAGTTACGTAATACTAGCGGTTTCATTCTATTATTATCCTGATTAAAGAATGATACGTATCCAAGGCGTGCTCAAAAACTTGAGAAAACCTACTAGGATTCGATATATTATTAATAATTTCCAGGACTGTTCAATAACATCAAAAACACTTCTTCAAATTGAATTTATCACAATACAATTTTACACATTTGAGTAAAAAAAATTCAAAATTTTCTATTTTGTTCTCAAAATTTTTATACTATTTTCAAAATATCTGTGGTTGATATGGTTAATTTAGTTTCAGCAAAACATGTATGCCTTTTAAAGTTCGGGATTATTGACAAAAAAAAAAAGGATTGTGAAAATTTTGATTTCATATTCCACACTATATACTTGGTTTCATATTATGGGACAGTGATCAGTGATGCTGGCGCAGTTTTTTTTATAGTAAAAAAATTTTTTAAATAATGCTGAAAAAAAGTTTATTATTAAAGTTTTTATCTCACAATTCAAATAATAAAAGATTCTATTAATTTTCTTAACAAGCTTCTTATAATGCATTCTAAACATATTAAGTTTAAACTTTTTTCAAATTAATGTTCTTTATTATAAAGTTTTGTTAGTTTTATATAAAAAATTAACAATTTTTATAAATTATAAATTTAGTTAAATGTTTTATTATATTAAACACTTGATATTAAAAATTATTAAATATTAAATAGTAAGACTATAATAAATAAAATTATTAACAAAATTATATTAAAAGAGGTGTAGTTACTTAGTGAAGTGGATAAGTTGTCAACTTTTCAAGTAGTAGATTGGGTGTTCAAATTTTATTGATAGAAAAAATTTGGATAATCACCTATGTAATACTTGTATTATAGCAACTGTTCTAACAATTGAATTAAGATATCTATAATAATAGTTACACTAGTATAACTAGCAGGTCATAAAGCATCTGTGTAACTAATTATACAAAGAAATGCAAACTAGCATCAGGCAGTGCAAATTCTAAATAATTCTTTATAATTATATAAATCCATTAAAATTAGAAAACAAGAAGTTTATTTAAAAAAATTTGAGTAGAAAGATAATATGGATTTTCAATTATGCTACTATAAAGTTAGACTACAGAAATAAATACCAATATTAAAGTATCCAGATTAACAAGAAGTTTTAAGCAGAATATTACCAATCAAATTATCAGAATGAAATAAAAAAAAAGAATATTAGGTCAATCTAATATACTGATAGACTGATCGTAATTCTATATATGCTATCTAAATTAAAAGTCTGAAAAATAAACAGAAGTATACTAAAGTACCAAAGATATGCTATAAAGTAGATATTAGAGTTTAAGTAAACTCTACAAGAGTATAGTGATTAAATAAAATAACTTTAATTACAAATATTGGTTTTGTTATAATAATACTGGATCAGTTGTAAAAATAAATATAAAAGTCTTTGAAAGATTTATCTCAAAAATAAAATAGTTCTTTAATTGAAATAATAATCTGAATATAATCTAATAATATTAACACAGATTATAAATTCAGAAGATTTAAAATGAAATACTTAAACAAGAATATTAGATATAACAATTAATAAGAATCTTTAAATAAATTCCTTAAATAAATAATATAAAAAATTATATATATAGCTAATTGTACATTTTTCTTGTAGTAGTTTATAAAATTATATTATTAAAAAAGTTATTAATAAAAGTCAATAGATCAAAGAAATTATCTTAAAAAAAAATTATACTAAAATAATATATTTTAGATCAAGTTATTTAAATTTAAAAGCAAATTAAGTTTAGTCAAGTTATTTACAAGATGTAAGTTAAGAATATATTCATCACTTATTTAATAATAAACTAAAATTAGTATATATTATTAATTTTTTTTAAATTCTTATAAATTATTTTTTTAAATTTTTGTAAAAAATTTTTAAAGTATAAAACTCTCACTTGCAGATCTAAAATATAAAAATCAACAAAGGCAAAAAATAAAAAATAGAAAATAACAGATACAATAAAAGAAAACCTAAATAAAAAAGCCTATTTTGGATAAAAAAACTACTCATATAAGATACAAAGCAAGGATACAATCATCTTAACTATACAAAGCAAAAGTAAAAAGAGAAAATTCAATACTTTCAACTGAGAAGGCAAACTAAGGTTATCAAGACCATTAGTAATACAAAGTTACAAAGTAAAAACACCAGGCATGATGAGCAGCAATCACAAATACCCTACTAGATAGCAACAACATCATACCAACCTAGATGCCACTTACAAAGATGCCTACAATAAAAAAAGACATACTGTTCCTTTTTAAATTCTAGCTAGCAACAAAAGTAGGTGATACAGCATACCTTCTACAAAACAAGTAATAATATTATCTTCAGCAAACCAATATAACAACAACACAATACAAACCAATAATAATAATAATAATATAACAAACATTATGGGAAAAAAAAATAATCCTAATACAGTAATAATTATACACAATACACAAGCTCATATAGCCATAAAAGAAAATCAAACAACCATGTTACAGAATCAAACACCAGATATAGAAATAAACAACCAACACAATATAGAATCTACACTAATTGAAATGCAAAACCTTTACAAAGCAATAGCAAATAGCAAGCTATAGAACTAGAACAAAACAATTAAATGAATACAGAAATAGAACAAACAAACAACTCTATAATGCTAAACACAAGCAACAAATCCACATATAGTCAAATGGTTCAAAAAGATGCAAGTGTAATTGATATGACAAAAATGAAAACTAACTATACATAAACATAGACCCAACAAGTAAATAATAACCTGAAGGCCAAAGTCACCACACCATTTAACTGCAAAGAATGGTCATATGATAGCATAATTAAAGCATATAGATCTAAAGAAAAGATACAAGTATTTATCATATATAAACTACAAACAAAACCAACTCAAAGACCAATCTCTCCTGCAACTAAAGCAAAATTTAGACACACTGATCTAACCTTCTTCACAACCTTTACACATATCAAAAAATTTATGCTATCATATCAAACTGAATATAACCAAATGTTTACAGATGTATTAAAAAATTACAAAACCACAAATGCAATAACTATTATCAACAAAGATACCTGAAATCTAATTCATATAAAATTAAGACAGAAGTTAATTATAAACTATACAACAAACTTGAATTTCAAAACTCATCCTTTCAAACATATAGCAAAAGCTTTAAAATACTACAAGGGTTTTACAAAAGATAAAACTGCAATAGATACAGAAGCAATTTAAGAAGCATTAAATAACATCCTAATATCATATTTAGCAAAACTATCTGAATTACCGAAACTTATTTCTGAAAAAATACAAAATATTCTTTTTTCACTTTATTAATTAAACATAGATTACAGACAAGAGCAATTGTCATAGCCTTATACAAAATTTATTCCTTTGAACAATTTTCAGAAACCTACTTCACTAAACTTTCACCTTTACTAGCAGAACTAAAAGACTTAGATGAAGCAATAAAGAATCTATTTTCAATTACACAAAGAAGAGAACTTACAAGATTAGCTTACTATAAAAAACAACTTCAAAACCATTATGATTGTAAAAAAATAGCTAGTTATTACTTTAAATTACCATTACCTATTTCAATAAAACCCTTCTTATTATAGGCATATTAAGACATAGAAGACCTACAACTTAGACAACACTTTCCAATTGATAGAACAAACTCTCTAGTAGATATAAAAGATATAACAGCATGGTTAAAAGAGCATTACATCTTTCAAGTCATACCAAATAACTACTTTAAAGCAAAACCAAATCTTTCAAAAAATTCTTTCAAAATCAAAACTACAAATACTTACTTCTTTTCAATTACTGATAACACAATAGCAAAAAACTTTATAAATAAAATCAAAAATATATACAAGCTTACTATATCTTTTTCAGAAACAATTATAACATCAAATCCAACAGATAAACCTAGACTACCTACAAACTCAACTGAAATTACAGACTACAACCTAATTCTGCTAATTAACACATCTAAAAGACTTACAGAAACAGCACAAATGCTAAGACAAACATACTACTTTTAAAAAATATCTGAAAGCTGGATTTAAATAACTAACAGTGCATATTCATGAGATATTGGATTTGATATATCATTAGATCAAAAACCTGAAATTCCAAATTCAATTAAGAAAATTCAAGAAGAACTAAATACAAAGGATATAGAAATGACAAATCTAGACCTACCTATTACTCAACAAAACAAAGTAACTAAAACACTAAAAATCTTAAGAAAACATTATACAATAAAAGAAATTTCTGAATTCTTTCTCATATTCCTACCTTTTCCAAAACCTAACTAAGGAATCTTTTGTCTATATGCAAAATAAATGACAATAACAAAAAAAGATAATAACCTAATCTCAATATCCCAAAAACAAAACATATCACTTTTTCATCTAAACAACAATAATTCTATTAATACACTACAAACTTCTCTTAATGAAAGCTTTATAAATATCAAAGATCATCTTAATATTGTAACTCACAATATATAGAGACTTAATGAATCACTAAAACTACAGATCTGGTTAGAACATTATGCCAAAAACAATTATCACATTGTCTTAGTCATGAAAACCAAACTCAAAAACTCTTCTATTTCAACACTTTCCAATCCACTCTACAAAATCTACACATCCAACTTTGAACCAAAAAACAACTCTCAATGTAAAGTTAGCATAAAAACTGCAATCATGCTTCATCATAAACTTCAACCTTATATATTTAATATCCAAACTCTAGCAGGCATAGTAATAAGCATTGACTTCCATCTACCTTCAAATAATAAGCTTTGTCTTATCTCAGTATATCTTTCATTAAACCATCTGAAACAACTTAAAACTACACAAAACATACTCAACAATTAGTTATCCTAAGCAAAAAGCTATAACTGGCATACAATTACAATGGGTAAGTTTAATGATAATCATAACCATCTCAAATAAATATCAAATCTTTTTATTATACTTTAATCACTATCATCTACTAGCCTAATAAAATTCTATGCGATAACTAAATCTATATGGCAAAAAGAGTCAAATCAAAGCCAAATAGATGACATATGGATCAACTCTAAGATTTTACTAGACTTCAGCCTATCCAAAATTATCGATTCAGTAGATATTACAAACAGTAATTATAAAATAATTGTCACTATATGGAAAACAAATTTTTAGCTAAAACTACTATGATCTAAAAAGAAAAAAAAAAAAATTATATCATCAAATGTTAACAGACAAATAGAAAGACTTTGCCAATGCATTTGAATTAGAATTTAAACTAATACCTCCAATACAAAACATTACAACAATACAACAACTAAACAAACTTTAAAACAAATAATCAAACTCAATCAAGAAAGTTGCAAATCAAATCATACCAAAAACTTATACAGCTTTTAAAACATATTATGCTTACTTCCTCAAAGCAACCAAATTACATCTAGTACTCAAACTAACAAACAAATATCTAAATGATATTAAACATTTAAGAC